AGGAAGTTCCACCTCAACATGAGGAGAAACTTGTTGGCTGTGCAGGTGCCGGAGCCCTGGCCAGGGTGTGGAGTCTCCTGCTCTGGAGACTTTCAAACCTTCCTGGAAGGTTCCTGTGTGGCTGCTCTGGGTGACCCTGCTCTGGCAGGGGGATTGGACTGGGTGATCTCCAGAGGTCCCTTCCAACCCCCAACATTCTGTGATTCTAAGGTTTTGATTCTTTCTCCCACCCTTGAATCACTGCTCTCTCAAACCAGCATCAACTCTGGCAACTAGATAAACTCCAACCTGGGCAACACACTGGTGCTGTGAAAGGGTCCATCCCTGAACACAAAAGAAAACGCCCACAGGAGTGGATGACGCGGTGACTTATGCCACCCCATGTCCACATCTGAACTAACATCCAGGCAGCTACTACTGAGCGAAAAGTCAGTTCAAGAGGCATGAAAACCACATGGTCAGCAAAGTGTTGACTACAACGCAAGCCCTCTTGATTGCACAACTGCAACAAGTCCAGGTGCAGAACTGCAGAGGTAAAACAACTCACGAGTCTGAGTGACAAGCAGTATATATATACAGGGACTACAAAGGGTGGAATAAAATCCCTTAAACTTCTGTTTCAAAGGGTTATCTGTGTCCCACAGTTCTTCATTCCTTAAGATCTTAAAACAGTGGAAGCACACATTTATTGCTCACTGGTAACTCACTAAAAAAATAGAAATTGTTTGAACAGATTGAATTTGCTGATAATTCAGACTAAAAGAATCATGTATTTTTTCTGCAAACAGCAAAGCTATGTTTCTTGTGTTTTTTATGACTAAGAGAAATGTAGCCCTCCTTTCGCCTTGAAGACTCTTTCCAATGCAGCCTGACAATCCCACACAGTCCCTGAGCCCACTTCACCAATACCTTCCAGTTCATGTTTCTTATAATCCTTCTCTTGGCATTCTTTGCATGTTTGGCTTGTCAGCACAGCAAAATTATAGAAACATTTTTGCTGGCCAGGACACTTTGACTGACTTTTTAAACTAGGGTAAGAGTTCCAGCTGGCAAACCAATTGATACCTCTCAACTGCTGTGTAAGCTCCTAAGCCATGCAGAGCTGAGAGTGACTAACCCACCGGGCAGCAGAACAGTCCTTTTCTGATGCTGGCTTACAAAAAAATCCACAGGAATACACAGATACTTAAATCTGTCAAATCTGGCTGAAATTGGTTAATGGGTTCAAAAGTTACTAGACTGGGAACTGACGCTGAAACACAGATACTGACAGAAAGCTCTTGTATTTGTACAAAACCAGGCTAAGAAAATACTACCTATAAGACATCTGGCATTCTGATTTTAACCTTTAATAAAAGTATATGTAAGTAAAACTTACATGAAGGTTTGGCTAAATACTGATTTTACAGGCTAAACTCGAAATGCAAAATAATACACAATAAAATTTCTGCTTCAGTAAAATTCATCCCACATTGCTTAAGTGTCTTGATCCAAACTATTATTGACACTTTTAACACAAGACTTTTTCACTTCTTTAGTATGTTCTCTCATATAGCCACATGCTCCAGCAAAAGGCAAAGCTGCTTAATTTTTTTTTTTTTACTCTAATTTGAATTAATACCGGATGAGACTATAGGATTGACTGCTCAAGCATGACTGAAGGGGCAGGAATAAGTAAAAAGTGATAAAGCAGCACAGTCATATCTGTATCGTACAAACCCAAGCCTACGGCAGTGCAGAAGATAGTGCTGAGATTTTATGGGTACCCTCCAGTTAAGATTTAATAACATCTGTAAAGATAACACAGTGCTGATGAAAATACATTTGAACACTTGTGTCTAAAATACAGATCTGATTAGTCAAATCTGGGGATACACCTGTCTCAACAACATTTATTTAAAGAAGTAGTGTCTCATCTACAGGTCCTGAGCTGCCCTTAACAAAGGACATTTGCTATTTTCTGCAATGGAGACTTACCCAAGTACAGGCAAGGGAGATGATTTTGCATTGCAATTTCTTGAGCACGTAAATGTTTCTTAACGGTGATGGGATAATAGGTACCACCTTTGACAGTTGCATCATTGGCAACGATCAAGCACTCCACCCTAAAAAAAAAAAACAAATTTAGGAGAGTTTGTTGGTGAAGAACCACAATGTGCCAAGGACTCTTGAAGCCCTGATGCTCAAAAAGAACCCTCCTCACTTGCACTGCCTCAAATGAACATTGTGACAGCAATCTCAGCACTATGATGATGTCCCACTTCACAGTCCCTTAACTCCCTAAAATAATGCTTTATAGCACCACACTTATCTCTAGCAACAGTTTTGGAGGTACTTTCAATCAGCAGAACTAAATCTTAGCCTAGAATATTGCTCTGTATTTTGAAAATTGCCTTAATGCATTAATCTCTTTCCTTTATCCAACACCAGAAACTCTCTGTGTGTGTTCTACCTTAATATGGGATACACTAACTAAAATAATTAAATAAATAAAAATCACTTCCTTTTAGCTAAGACTGAACAATTAAGATGCCAACTCTGCTGACTTTTTGGGTGTCAGAAAAGAAACACTAAAAATTTTAACAGCTTAACACTGGAAACCGAATCTTCTTATCATCTTCTTATCATCAATAACATGCATCACCAATCTCTCTTACCCAGATACTCGTCCGATGCCTGTGATAATCCCTCCTGCTGGCACCTCTTCATTACCATACAACTGGTACCCTGCAAACTGGGAGAACTCCAGGAACGGAGACCTGGATAACAAGAAATACAACAGAATTTTAAAAACAAACTGGCCATATTTGCCACTGATTCTCACTTAAAAGGTTAAGCTCTAAAATTAAGTTTGGTGGGTTTTTTTAAAAAAATATGCATATTTCAAAGAACACTTCTGTATAATTTCAACTGTGATACTTGCCAGTGTTTATGGAAACTAAAGAGAAAACAAGCCTGTTGCAGTACTCACCCACACAAGAAAACTTGAAGCATTTTCTTTCTTTCTTTCTTTTTTTTTTTTTTTAAAAAAAAAGTACCTACCCAGGATCAATAAGCCTGTCAATTCTCTCTCTGGGTAGCAGCTTCCCTCTTGATATGTGAAGCTTACGAGCTTTTTCTCCACCTCCTGTGACACAATAGTACATTGCTAGATTTATTATGGACACGGATAGATAAATCACCGCTTATATTAAAACTTAGAATGGAAGCACTGATGAGTTCCCAGTTTTTCAGGTATGGACTTTAACAATGAATTTAACAAACAATGGCTTCCACTTCAAACAGATTTAACATATTGATAAAAATGCTTGCATTTCAGAATCTACTCCCATTTCCCCCTCTTCATTTTTTATATATAGTCTTCAGGTAAAGATTTTAATAAATACAGTTGTGCGAAACCTTCCTCTGCTGCTCAGCAATGAACAGAAGGGCTGGAAACACGTGCACAGAAGCATGGCAGTAAGAACTACAAAAAGTACTATTCTCCATAACTCGTTCCAAGCAGCTGTGCAGAATCCAGTCTTGAAAGACCCATCACAATCCAGATTCCTTAGATCACCCCAACAATGTAAGCAGAGTTCAGACACACAGCATTTAACAGCAAGTTTATCTTTGCTTCTTTTCAACCCTTTACTTGAGGTCATCCTAAATCATGTGTTTTGCTCCCTAGAGCGTGGTGTCATTCAATACGTCTGATTTGTTGACACACCTCAGCCTCTTCACAACAGCGCATACAAACACTGTTTCTCTGTGTAGGCAGATCACTGATCCACCTCATCACTCTAAAATTGTCCTCCCTGTCCAAAATAAAGAAGCTGCTATTTTGCTAAGATTTCTCTTGAGACTTCAAGATTTCTTTGTCAGCTAAGCATTACTGAAACAGAGCTTTTAAGCCTACCTTTCCAGCCCTTTCTCTCACCTCCTTCCTTGATCACTACGCACATCATTTCCTACCTGCTAGGCACGTCAGAAAGACCGCAACTTATTTCTGATCCAGCCTGTTCGTTAGGTCTGTATATCCAGCCCAAGACTAAATCCTGTAAATTCCCTTCTATAAGTTTAAGATACAACCTCTCACATCCACCCACAGACCCAACACTCCCATCCAAGTTCTCTACACCCCACATCATGATCCCACATCCAGGAAATTACAGGCCAAACCATTTTACATCAGTTCCTGGGTCAGTTAAGAGACCTCCTGGGGGCTATCACAAGTCAAATGAAGCACGTGACTGGGACAAGCAAGCAGGGATTCACCAAGGGCAACTGTGCTTCACAAACCTGATCATCTATGACAAATAACTTGTTCAGCTGATGTGGGGCGAGCTGTGGGCACTGTCTAGCTGGATATCTCCAAGGACTTCTGTATGGTTCCCCACAGCCTCCTCCTAGAGAAACTGATGCATTATGGTCTAGACATGTGGTCTATGTGGTGGGCAAGGAACAGCCAACACCCACAGGGTGCTGGTAACAGCATCTTTTCAAAATGGCAACGTGTCAAAAGTGTGGGCCCCCAGAATCCAGTATTGGGCCCAGCACCATTGAATATCTTTGTAAGCGATCTGGACAACTGGGTCAGGTGTACCTTCCTGAAGTTTGGTGACCCTACCACACTGAGTGGGGAAGTGGACACTTTGGAAGGGAGAGCCACCCTGCAGAAGGATATGGATCGTCTGGAAGAGTAGGTTAACAAGAACCTCATGAAGTTCAACAAGGACAAGCGTTAAGGACTTCCATGTGGTAAAACATAATCCAGGACTGCAGCACAGGCTGGGATCTACCGAGCAGCTCTGTGAGAAGGCACTTGGCGGTCCTGGTGCGCAACAAGCTCTATATGAGTGAACAGTGTGCTGCTGCAGCAAGGAAAGACACCAGGATGCTGGGCTGCACCAACAAGGACATCACCAGGAGAGATAAAGAGGTCTTCGTACCACCCAGCACTTGTCAGGCCACACCTGGAATCCTGTGTTCAGCTTTGGTCCCTGCTACACTAAAGTATAAGGGCAGGCTGGAGGGTCCAGAGAAGGCCTGGGAAGCCTGAGGAGAGGTTGAGTGAATCATGCCTGTTCAGCTTTGGGAAAAGAAGGCTTAGGGGACACCTTACCACCATCCACCAGTCTTTAAAACACAGCTACAAAGAAGATGGATACTCCCGTTGTACAAGGAGTCACACTGAAATGATCAGGGGTAACAGGTTCAAATTTCTCCTGCAGAGAGTCCAGCCGGACACAAGAGGGAAATTTTTCAGTGAGAGCTATTAGCCATTGGAATAATCTCCCAGGAAGTTGTGCATTCCCCAACATCGGCCACTTTTAAGATTCAGCCAGACAGGGTGCTGAGCCGTCTTATCTTGGCTGTGCTTTTGTCAAAAAAGGTTGGACCAGATAAACAACCAAGCATTCCTTACAAAGACCTCAAGCAAGAGCTCATCATCTGAAACAGGGTTCTTAAAAAAAGTATTCAACATAAATACCTAATTCTTCTCATATACTTAGATGATAGGTAAAGTAATCTCAACTGCTGCCACGCAAAATGGTGTATTAACACCTTGACAGAGCTCCCTGAGACAGTGGAAACACGAGTGCCATATTCCTGCCCTGTTGTCACATAACAGGCAAGAACAAGAAAACACACAGCAGTGACGCAGACCATGATCCTGTAGTTCAAGAGACACACAGGGCACTGCTGAGGAAACTCTACACCCATAAAAGACAAAGGCAGGCCACAGCTTTCAGCATTTACAAACATTTTTGGTTTATTGACCCTGTTAAATATAGTAGTTGCAGTTAATTCAGGTAGTCTTACCAGAATATGAAATACAGATTTCAATTTATTACAGACTTGTTTTTGTGTGCCAGCACAACTACAGCTAGGGTCTTTGAAAAGCCTCTTTGTACATGAAGAGACTACCATGCAACTTGAACAGAAACACACTTGCCAAAACCAGTTTGTTTTAAAAGCAGGCAGCACTGGATGAAGCACGGAACCAGGTGAAGTGGAAAGTGTATCAGTAAAAGCCTTTTATTTATAATCCCATCTATTTTAAAAATATTGCCATTAGAAACACATGTTCCACTAATCACTAAAATCTTAACCAATTAAAAATTAACCAACACTAATTATCCAGTCTTCACCATCTACTTGGTTACTTCTTGACTCTTTGGCAACGAAATTAATCTTCATTTTGACTAAATCAGCTTTCATTAATGTCTGCTTGCAGTAATATATGCACCTGCTGCATTAGGATATTGCTCTGATATTCAACCAGCAAAAAAAATGTTAACACCCTAGATACTGTGACAAACAGCTAAGTGCTAATGGTGTGGACATTCTTCTTAGCTCCTAGATTTTGAACCAAGTTAGCCTGCATATAAACCTTTTCAGATTTTCAACTGACCGAAGATGGTATACCTAGATTTAAACAGAGGAGCTAAAATTTCAGTATTACTGCTATAACCCAGCAAATACGTCTCATCTGAATGAACTGATTAACTAATTTACAGCTCTGGGTGGGTGGAAATCCAAGGAGTAAACCTGTTTACTGGACCAAACTAAACACTATTATACTTACCTAATCTGATTTTTTCTGCTTGCTGTTGGAGTTCCGTTACCAAAGCTTTCATTCGTTCATAGTTTTCCTATACAGGAAACAAAACAGCATTTTAAGTTTAACCAAAAGTGACAGTATTATTTTTTTAACAAACAAACACAGCAGATGTTTACTTCTCTTCCAAATTTAATTTCACCTTATTAAATACTTGCTCTGCATTGTTTTTAAAATAATAACATTTCTACCTATGTACTGGCCTTCCTCAAGCATCCCAAAACATTTAATAAACATCCTTCACAAAAACTTCAAGTGTGTCAAGATGGTAAAAGACTAGTTCGAAATTCAATAAACAAAAATAGAACTAATCATTACAGAGTTGGTGCTATTTTTCAGGTTTTGTTAATTTTTTGTCACAGATTTGGTTTTGCTTTTTTAATGCAATTTTGTAAAAAACACCACGTGGATTCAAAGTAAGTGCTGCTATGTCTCTTGTACCTAAAGATGAATCACCTAGACCAAACTGAATTTGCTAAACGCTTTTTACATTCTTCTTGTTTTGGTAGAATATAAAGATAAATAGAAAGCCTTTAAAAACCAGGAAGTCTAGTCTTTTTGCCAATATCCCTCTTTGAAAAACAAAGACTCAAAGAGTTTCGGATATGAGTAATCCACTCAACATTTCTGTCAGAATTATCCGAACCTCTGTGTGCACATTACAGCAGCTATTTTACCATTTCTTACGAATTAAAAGGTATTAGTCAAGCTTAATTTGTGGGTTTGCTGTTTTTTTTCCAGGCATATTAAGAGCTATGCGACCTCTTTGAAACGTGTAACTGCAATAAAATAACGTAATAACTGCTGCATTAAAAAAATCACAGTTCCTTCTCTCATTCTCATTTGGTAGATGTTAAGGCTCTGAAGTGTGTCAGTTCGGGTGGTTCAGCTTGGTCTCACTCACTGAAAGGCACGACGATGCAATAAAAACACATACGCAGGCACCTCGCATTCAAACTGTTTTAGCTGCAGAGGAAGACTTTCAAAAAACCACATTTCTCCCTCTTTCTAACTGTGACTAGCATGTATTAAAAACACTCTTTGGAAAGATGCTTTTGAAAAATACTCTTTGATCATGGAACAGATCTTCCCAGCAGCTCTGCTAAGGCACATGGAGGACAGGGAGGTGATTCGGAACAGCCAGCGTGGCTTCACCAGGAGCAAATCCTGCCTGAGAAACCCAGTTGCCCAGAGAGGTGGTTGAGGCCCCATCCCTGGGGACATTCAAGGTCAGGCTGGATGGGGCTCTGAGCAACCTGATCTAGTTAAAGATGTCCCTGCTTACTGCAGGAGGGTGGGACTAGATGAGCTCTAGTGGTCCTTTCCAACCCAATGGATCCTATGATAAAGGTAAAAACATGGCCTTAGCAATTTTATCACTTCATATATACAGTTAGTACATAAGGTAAGCATTTAGAGGTCATCCAGGAAGATCAGGGCGACACACTGTAAGCCCAACTCTTGTGCTGCTGTTGGGTCTGGGGAAGGATTCTCCAGGTTCTAAGCAGGTGCCATCTGTGATATGGCTCACAGGCTGCACTTGGGACGGAGTTCATACCACCTAAACACCAGCCAACAACCAACACATCTTGGATACTAACCCCAGTTAACAAAAGCTCTCTGATTTGTGGTGCCACTCTGCAGACTTCTGATGACACGAGAGGTCACCAGCTTCTTCATCTCCTCCCTCTCTTGTACAGTTGTGTCAGAATGTCCACTACATTACTCCCCTTTCAGCCTCTTCTGACACTTAAATTCTTTCCCTTCCTACTCCATCAACAGCTCCAACACCTACCTCTATGACTGTTTTTTCTCACTCCCCACCTGTGAAAGCACACCGCAACGACTTACTGGTGGTTTTACCACTGTCATAGTATCCCCAAACCCGAGAACAAAACACAGTTAAGTCTTTTAATCTGACTCCACTGCTCCTGGGAGAGACTGAACAGTAAGTGCAGCCACGCAACCACATGCAGTACCAAAGAGAACAAAACCTGCTTTTAATCCTTCCTAAAAGGCTCTGTTTACAAGTTAAGATTTTTCCCCTGTGAAAAATACGTAAACCAGACATTTTAATTCCATACTTCAAAAGTCTGCAGTTGTCACGACACACAATTTTATTGTATGTGTGTCCAGCTTCTCCACCTGGCTCATTTCACATCATTACATGTATTTTCCCTGCTTCTCCTTGTTCAGTCAGCCTGGTTTCTCCAAATACATGTACTTTTTGCCCACAGTACTGACCTTAACAACTCATCTATAACATAGGACGAAAAAATAGATAAAAATGGCAGAGGAAACTAAAAGGAACACGGTAATCAAAATCACAGGCTTGTTTATTAGATTCTGAATTAGTATCTCACTGTAGCTACTTCAGCTACTCTTCATAGATATAGACAGATAATCTATTAAAAATGTTGTCTCAATTATTTGAGTTGCTCAAAGTCACTTGATTTCTATCCTTACCTTTCTGGACTTTAACCAGAACACAGCATCATCACACTTTACAAAAGAGAACTAAAGTTGCCTTGCAATCAATCTTACTCTTGAATACACACAGAAAAGGCTCGTCTCAGAACCAAATATGTTAGCCCTACCATGTATTTGTGGGCTCTTCGCTAATTAAATGTCAAAAAGGCCAGTGAAGTGACACAAGTACTTTCTGAAAACTAGCCCTTACATTGGTTAGTTCTATAAAATTCTGCTCTTAATATGAGAGCTTCTATATACTTTAAAATAAAATCAAGAGGCAAAACCAACAGATTAATCCTACAGTAACTGCACACTCTAACTGAATTACTGCCACACGAGCAAATCAGTTGTACAAGCTGGTCCTCTGAATCTTTACACAGATTTTCCTTTATTCTCCAGAACTTGGACTCACTCATTTTAAAATTACATTTCTAAGTGCATGGTTTGGAAGACAGTTTACATTACAAAGGAAAGCTTGTCTAGCTGAACTCACACCCAGAAAGACAAACAGCAGCTAAAAGAAGGCAAGACCTTCATCATGTATTGCTGTGCCTTGTTGTGTTTGCACTGTTATTCTGGCTAATACTTCTATTTTGGATGGTTAAGCACCGCGCGGCAGGGACCACAACTCCTTGTGTCTGTAAAGCACTACACGCACTTACAGCGCTCTATAAAACATTTCTGCCAAATACTATTAGCTATTTTACCAAGCCTTGCTTTTCTTTCAAGATCAAAAATGTACACATACACAAACACAAATCTAGCAGCAGCTGAGTAAATACACTCATTACATTATTACTCTTTGGTCTTCTTGGTATGCAAAATACAGATATACACATGGTATGCAAAATACAGATATATACACAGGCACTTCATATACACAAGTTTTGGGGGTTTGTGTAAGATGTAGAATCATAGAATGGCTTAGGCTAGAAGGGACCTTAAGAGAAACATTTTTAATCCAGCCTGACATACTGCAATTTCACAAAAGTTTCAGCCAACTGCCTCCTGACACAAAATTTAGTTCCTACAAAAGCAAACCCCATATCAGAGGTACCTATTTCCACAGGAATACATGTTGTTGCTTCACTTTCTGTTTTGCTGTTTCACCTGGAGCATAACTGAAAACACACCTCAAACTGTGCTTTCCTCAGCCTAAACGTATAAATACAATTATCATCCTGAATTTGATCATGTTATAACGTCCCATTAGAAACAAAATTATTTACACCAGATAAAAGTACTGTTCTCTTGGTGAAGACAACGGCAACTGCACCTGTCCCTCCTCCTCTAAAGTCGACTCCTGTGCCAACAGGCTGCTGCCTGCAGGCTCGCTCCAACTGCTCCAGCACCCAGGTTAGGCTTGTACACAGGGGGAGCTGTCTAGCGCCAGCTGCAAAAGAACGAAGGCTACCAGAATGGACTCATTGTAAGAGTATATAAAAACAAAAATAATTGACAAGAACACTAGTGATAAAGGTATCTAACAAAGACCATCTGGTGACGAAGGCCCTTGTGGAATTCGAGGACAAAGATACCTTATGAAATGTGCTGAGAGCAACTAGTTTTTGGACCGAGGTAAAAAGTTCATTGTGAGGAAGACCTATGGCCTCCATCCCTGAAGGCTCTAGCCCAAGACCACCAGGAGGCACTGCGCAAGCGTCAAGAGGAGGAGCAGCCAACCACCGGAACTGAGTGGCTTTTTCGGATAGCTCATGAATATTATAAGCATCTAACGAATATGTAACTTTCTTTGCATATAACCAAGGTATCTGCCCGTGCACGGGGGCAGCTGTGGTAGAGCACTCCTTGGCAGAGAGCTGCTCCCTGCTGCCCAGCGCTGTTTTGCTTACTCAGCCGCTTGCTAACTTAATAAATTATCACTTAAATTCCAAATTGGCTCCTGGGTTTTATTCTCTCAGTCTATAACAATATTGGTGCCGTGACTCGGATACAGGAAACTGCGATTCAGGTCCCCAGATCAGGTAGGCGCCCTATCTTCGGATAGCCCTGGTGTGGGTGATTCCTGCATCCAGTCCTGTACATCCAAACCCCGCCTAAATTCAGTGAGTAAGCAAAAGAATCTGCAGAACCCCGTAATTTTTGTGCATGAAGACCAAGCGAAGACTCCAGACGGAGTAAGTATAAGTGGATTCCGTTTGGCTGGGGTTGGGTTTCCTGGGGTTGGTTCCCTGGAGTTCGAATGAATGAGAGGTTTCTTAGAAACCAAGTGAGAGCGGACCCTTCAGTAGTGCGGTTCCC